AAACTGCGAGGAGGAGCCAAGAACATAGAAATATCATGGTCACAGTCAAGCCGTGGTTGTGGCTGAAAATGGACGACGTGTCAAGGTCATTGGACTTCAATCTCTCAAAATAACTCCCAGGTCAATGATATAGCTTTAAATTTGTAACTCAATGCATGTAGCGCTACACTACTGTGATGGTACTGATTAATAGTAGGACGGATAAATTGTTGCAGAGAAATAGCAAAAATATTAGCCCCACCATGGGTCGAACTTGGATCACCTTAGACTTCCCTAGACCCCTGCTCACTATATAATGAATTGAGTAAAGCAAATATAAAGGATGCACACGGCTACTATCGAGTAATTTTATCCGTACATTGGTGATGGTAGATAAACTGCAAAAGTAGGCAAAGGTGATGTTCTATGGAAAATAGCAAAAAGAGTCCCTACCGTAGTTCGAACACGGGACCAGATTCCATCAGGAATGTTTGAACCACCGAAGGGCGCCAATGTCCCGAATAGGTAGTGCGGCTGTTTCCGAAGCATGGTTGGACGTGGCGTTCACGAGCTGATTGGCATCAACGACAACGGTAAGTAGCCCTCCCGATTGAGCATTTGTTTTGACCATTCTACTCCACCTGCGTGCACACCATCCTTGGTATTGAGTAGTTTGGTCCCACTGATACCCATGCATGCAGGTTTTGTTCGGCTTACCATCTTCACTTCCCAGACCAGCTCACCTAAGCCAATTTGCAGCCCCAGTACCAGCAAATATACCAGCATGCCTATGTGCCACTTCAGTATGTACATGTGTACCCACAGCAAGATCTTATGTGTCCCACCAACGCTGAGCTGCTGAATCCCAAGAATCTGCCTCCTGAGCCCACTGACTTGTCATCGTACAAAGGCCAGTCGCATCTCTGTGCAAAGGCTCGCAATGATGCATAACCCATCCATGCCCCATATGGGGCCAATGTCCAACACATTCTCCAACAAATTCTCCTTCATGCGTGCCGATAATCCACATCAGCTGCTAACAGACATACGAGTACAAGCATATGATCCACCACGTGTGGGTGCTGGAATCATGGCTAGTGTTAATACCGCGGTAGCTGGCCCATCTGTGTCCATGGCACCCAAGCGAAGGCAGGCAGCAGAACTCCCAGCCTCAGTACTGGCCAAGATTGCGAATCCCACTGCTCGCCCACAGTTGCGTGCAACTTTACGGGGTGGCAACACTGGAATGAGTCCAGAGGAGCTGGAACGCAAATGAGAAGAGGTCATGGAGATCTCGTCAAGGCGTCTCGACAGGGAAAATCCGCACACACGCCATCACCGACAAGTACCCCGACTTGCTGGTGGGTCAACACTGGACATCCGAAGTCGTTGACAAGATGGCCAGATATTACTTATGATGGCGGGTGAGCACGGTGATTTCATCCTAGACTTATTAGATACTGATTTCCAAACAGGTGGTATGTACTCCTGGTTGGAATGGTGCAAAACACATCAAGGCTGTGACCCTACAAAACATCCTGACCCACCTCATCCACTGCATTGTCAAATTCTGCAAGGATGCCAAAGGAAACGCAACAGGAATGGATCTTTTGATCCAGTGCGACTTGTTCTCCCAGTTGGAGCAGCAGGCTGCTCAGTGTGAGTACATATTCCTTTCTCAAACGCAGCTACTCATCTCAAGATTTTAAAGTGGTAGAGGATTTTCAATTGAGCTGATACGCATTCAAACAGTCGTCACAATCCTAACAACTTATTATACAACTGCGAGGCCCGGTTCATTAGGCCCATCCCATTCCGACTTTGCCAGGCAAGGCAAGGTAAGTAAGCTGGCACTATCTTTTGGATGTTATGCTGATGATACTGCCAGTACCTCAAACTCCATGACATCAAGTTGTATTTAGTGGCTCCCTTCAGCTGGCAGGGGAAGATCACTTTGCGCAATCTCAAAGTAAGTCGGTATTCAGCGCTCTATGATGTCCACTCACACAATCATCAGGGCTACAACGACATAGTGTCCTTGGTTGTCGAAAATGTTCTAGACCCAGTCGAAAACTCTCAGAACGTTATATTCGACTGGGCAATGTGGGTTGTGGTGTTCCTTTTCCACTGCGATTGCTCTAAATACAAGATAAAGTTGTCTGAGCTTACTTTTCTTTAGTATGACTGAGATTTTGCTAGCGTCTGGAAGATCTTCTGTCATCTCGTGAATCAGAACTGCATATCCTTCCTGAGAAACTAGACGAACCATTGTAAGTATTCCTATGCTAAACCGGAATGATAGTAACATGCTGTTTTCCCTAGCTTTCTGAAAGCGGATTGGCATGGCCTTAAGCTATGTACGGATCCTCCGCTTCCAGCAACAGCGAACAGTATATCCCAAGGCATCCACTTTCTCGCCATGAACGCTGGTCTCCCGGGTGGCAACTCAGGGGCAATTCGTCGTGACGCTGGCAACAATGTATGTCTTGTTTGCGTTGGTAAAGACTAATGAGCCTCAAATACTTTTTAGTACGGGATTAAGCTTGGTGCTAGCTATGCGCAACTCCTGATGGCCCATCAAGAGTCAAATACAACCTTCAACAGGTACTATTCAAAAGGCACAGGAAATCTTGCCCTCACTGCCATCCGGAATGGAGAAATCCAGTTTGATGGCACAATAATCAAGGTATTTGCGTCATAGTATTATCTCAGGACGCTAATAATATTCTTGAAAGCAATCATTGGCTCTCAATGATTTCTGCGCGTGTGCTGTCTTGGCGCTGGTCAACATTAGACTAGACAATGTGGAAAATCCCCCAGAGCATCCTGAAACTATCTCTCGCAATCCAACTGTCGCAAGGGATACTCGGACAATAAATACAATCAAGCTCGATCCTGCACATAAGGATGAGATTGAGGTTAGATCGTTATCGCTTGCCAACCGCTTTATCTAATGACCCCTTCTAGCACCATAATCTGCTTATAGAATTTGAAGAAGCAAGGGTGAAAGCATGGGCTGCTTTTATTGGCTGTTTCTCTGCTATGCCAAAAAAGAAACCATACCAGCCATTGATGAGCAATGTGACCCAGATCGAGCAGCACAAGACCATCCGGCGCCTCGACACTGTCACCAAAGAGCAGCTTAATGCAGTGAGTCTAAATTCTCTTATATGTCTCGAATATGGCGTGACCTTGTGACCTAGATAAAGGCATCTTTATCTGCTGCAAATGATGCAGTTGCAAACCGACGACGCCATCTCACCTGAGCCACAGCTATCTGTGTCCAACGAGAGAAACAGGAGTTAGATACGACAAGAAGCGGCGATACCTTTGATTTGCGAAATCAAGTTGTCGCTGACCTGACTGTGCCTTTGGATGTGTGCAAGGCAGTCGAAGGCCATGCATCATCAGTCCAGAACATGTCTACAAGAATTGGCAAGTGTTCGTCCGTGTCCATATTGATCTCAAAAATAATCGTTTTTAGATACAATTCATGCAGCTACGGCACCTCCTGTCGCCGGCCCATCATCCGTGCCAGAAGATAATGTGGCAGCTTTGGATACACCGCTCGCAATATCTGGTACGCAAGTTTTGTTGGGTGGAACCATGTATGCCTTCTCACCCACAACAGATGATGAAAGCGATGATGCTGGCGGTCAATTCGGACAACTCCCAGTCCTCCCTGGTATTCAAGCTGCGCTCACACAAGATTCATAGTCGGCCATGCCCTCCATTATTGTTTGCTTTGGCATTGCCCTGGGCATTTCTTTGCCATTGCAGCATCAATAGTAAGGTGGTGCTCGAGGAAAAGAAAATAAAGGGAAAAATAGTCCCTACCGTGGTTCGAACACGGGACCACACGATTTGCAATCGTATGCTCTACCACTGAGCTATAGTGACTTGTTGTCACAAGAAAACAAATGACTTATAGTGCAATCACTAAATACCATTTATTACTGTCCAAATATGGTAGATGTGGCACTAATAACAAGTTCAGATATAATAGGGCTTATTTGATTGGGATGATTTGTTAGGAGTCATTTTAGATAGAAAACTAATTAAAACTTCTATGTGTACTTTCCAAGTGGAAATACCAATTGGCATGAAAATCACAATGAAAATACATCACACTGCATGATAACAGCTGCATTCTACAGTTGCTCACAGATTTAATCTTATATATTTCATTGAATAAATATCATGACATTGGGTTAATCCAAGTGAAATTTGCACTGTCACCATTAAGGTAGTGGACTTGTGAAAGCAACCAACGTCACGTGGTAATCGTGACTGAAGGTGACAAACTCTATTACTCCAGAATTACCAGTGTATTCAGCGAGGTTGAAACTAGAACTCAAGTAGCATGATGAAAAACTCAAAAACTAATTTTCAAATTTGAGATATGTGTTGAAGGAATTGTGCCATTACAGTGCCGGTGTGTATCCATATGTTTGTTTAGCCTTGGCCATGAACTCCGCACTACTCCGCGCC